CGATGCCAATATACTGTAATTTCTATCAGATTTAACATGTCAAACGGAAATGTGACTTTTCCGTGCCAAACATTTGACCCAAAATGGATATGATGCTCTTTGTAATGATGTGAAAAAGTACATTTACATCAAAAACCAATCATGCGATGGAAATGATTTGAAAAACCATTCGCAAAATGCCTAGCTTGTTGGTGTTCAATTTCAACGAAACAGAACAACACTTCAACAATCAATTCAATTTGGTTTATCTTCAATGTTTTCATAGCAAAGCAAAAGAAAACCAAAATTGGAATCCACTTTATATGGAAATTAACCTGTGTAATTCACCGTATTTTCTGCTCTTCTATTCTTTTTCTCTTCCATATTTTTCTTTACCGAATTGTTGCTTATTTTTATAACATCATCTCAGTAGTGTGACATTGTGATCGCTTCAATGTTGTGAATTTAACCAACCTACATGCCACAATGTCATCAAATACGTCTCGAAAACATAAATTGTAGTAATATTATCATATTCGAATGATTTGGTTAAATGATGAGACTTTTTTTTTCTCTCCCACTCCATCTGAATCGACATTTTTGATTTTCTTTCTGTTACGAATTCTCAATTCAAATTCAAACCAATTAGACATTTGGAAACAAAAGTGACATGAGTACCTGATCCACTCAGTCCTATATTTGTCAATTGACGACGTATGCATGTTTCATGTTTGAATTCTGAGCTTTTTACACCAAAGAAATACCAAAATTGTAGCCCACAAATTTGCGAATGTTTCAGACTGAATTGTCATAACAACCGACTTAGATCAAACATGTTCGATTCATGAACTCAAGTGCTTCGAATACTTGGCAAAGTATGTGAATTAGTTAGTCAAGCGCTGGGAAGTTTATTTGTTTTCTCTTCTATCTTCTTACTCCCACCCACTACCTTCAGATCTTTTCACTCTTTCTTTTTGTTCTTCTTCTTTCAAGTGTGTAAGATTTTGAATGTAAGACATGCCATTTTTGGGTCCACTCAGCAAATTATCTGCACGCGGTCTTGATTTTTTTTTGTACGATTTTTGCTTATTCTAAGTCATCGTTTGTCTTGTCGGGCTCTGTGTCCACTTATTTTTTTTTTTTAAGTAAATAACTTAAAATTCATTGTGCTTTTCCAGCTGTTTTTAACGTTTGGTTTCAACAGAAGCCAAAGAACAAATGGAACGAATGAAATACAAGAAGACGATGGAAACGATGTGGAATTGAAAGAAATAAATTACGATATTGCAATTTGACGCATTTTAACTGAGCTTCAACACGGACTAAGGTTTCTGCTTTGAAGCCCAAAAACAGACAGACACGTAAAGTGAGAACTGATCCAAAAGATTCTACTACATGTATTGTATTCATTTATGTGTGCGTTCATTTAAGCGTTGTCTTTGCATGTAAACGGTAAAGTGCTATTGGGCGCTATACATTTGCGGCACGGACATATGTCCATTGTATTGCTTCATGCGCTTTTCTACGCTTGAAGGTTGTCAGCAGTGTATTGTTGTGTGGACTCCCTGCGGAGCTAAAGCGAATAAAGCTTTCGTCGAATGCCGCATGACTTTAACGTCGCTTTACGGTTTACAATTTGATATACATAAACGACCATGACTGGATGCTTTAGAATAAAAATAACATATTATACAGTTTCATGGACAAGACATACTTTTTCATATAGATTTGTTGTTGTAGTTTCTACAAATTGATGTGAAACTGTATATAGTGTTGCTTTTATTCTAGAGCATTCAACTCTCTGTTCCTTCTCAAGCTGAACATGAACCAATTCTTGTGATTTCAGGTTTTTTTGCATTTCCTTTTTTTCTCTCAGTGCAAGCATATTTTTTTCTCGTTGCTGTGCATGCCCTTTTATACATAGTTTTTATGGTTTCATTCTCTTAACTCATAGAAATCGTTTTGAGAGAGAGAGGTTGATGTTATGTGGTGCATTCAATTTTTTTTTTCTGTTAGTTTGTTCATTGTCCTGCTATTGTGCTTACATTTCACATCTAGATCTTTCAACTATACTTTATTACTGATTCCTTTTTTTCGCCATCACATTTTTTTTCGGTTCATTTTCCTCCCTTGTCCAACTCTATTCCATTCAATAATACGCTTTTTACACTATCGTAATAGTACCAACTCAACGATACGCATTCGATGGACAAAAAACCACTTCGAAACACCAATTTTTCGCAGACGACTTTTTGACACTCCCTGAAACGTAAAATAAGTTGAGAAAGAGAGAGCAAGTGGGAAAAAAACGAAGAACCGAATATGTGTATAAATATTTGCGTTGTTTGAAAACTATATTTATTCTATAGCAGCAATCGTGATACTGCACTCGCTTTCAATAAGAAAGTGCCAATGTTTTTGTGTGCAACTTATCGCATTTCTCTGTCGATTTGAATGTGTGTGTGTGTATTTTTTGTGACTTAAGTCGTCTCTTTTTTTGTAATCATTTTAACAACTTGTGTTATGAAAAACGAAAGAGAGAAAAGAAAAACTTTGCATTCATGAATGTGGCGGTTGAATCCATTTCGAGTTGCCAATTTGAAATGCATATTTGATAAGAACATTTATCGATGTGACCAAGAAACCGTACAGTTAATGGTGAAGAAAGTGTGAGTAAGAGATAGATAGTTTGGTTTGGATGGGTGAAAGAGTAAGTAAAAATAAAAAGTGTACAGCAAATTGTGCAAAAGAAGTAAGATAAAGTTTTTTAATTAAGCGATATTTTTGAGCAAAAGTCCAATACATTCTACTGTGTGTGTGTGCGTGCCACTTCAAACGGGATTTTACTAAATACCCCACTTTGCTTGGCAATTTAATCTTTCGTCGCATTTCAAAAATACTGTGTGTACATTCTGTGTGTTGATCATGAATGCTTCTCGCCACTTCGATGTTAATAATCCAATCAAGAATTTCATAACCACTTAATTTACCGCGAGCTTTTTCGTGCATTGGATACATTTAAATAACGTAAAAACGTCCAGTACAGCAAGTGCATCATCCAAATCTCTATGTTAAGTATTGTTACGACCAAATTGAGAAGCTATACAGTTGAAAGTCGATTTGTCTACGATGTATTCACTGGATACAATACACTCACTTCTTTTTTTCTCTCTCTGACACACGTTTTTTTTTTCTTCTGTCCCACTATCAGTTTGAAGTTTAAATTCCTATTAAAATTTCAATTCGACGGCTTCTGAAGTGTTTAACTAGTTGAGTTTAAAACATCCACTCATGAATAGTACTGGAAAATGTGAAACCATCCCGAAACTTGTCTCATTTCATTGGATGTTTAGTTCAGTGAACATCGTGAATCACAACTAAATACGTGTTTATGGGATGTCGTTGCTCTTTTTCTCTCTCTCTCTCTCTCTCTCTCTCTCTCTCTCTGTGTGTGTGTGTGTGCTCTTCCTCTGCACTGTACGGATCTTCGTCGACCAAACTTTCTCTCACTCTCGTTCCTCTTTAGCCATTGCTTTTTTTCTTGGCTTGCATTTCGAAATTAAAATACATTCAACTTTAAATAAATGCAGCCATATCGAGTCACAGTCTCGTTAATTCTTTTATCTATTCTCTCTCCTTTTTTTGCTGTTGCTCCTTCTGTTTGTATTTTGTTCATTTTAATGTTCGCTGTTGAGTGAGAAGGTTGAACGACTATACAAAAAAAAAATACTGTAACGACAAACAACAAAGCCTCAGCACAATGCACACAAAAAAATGACAATAAAATAAAATGAGAGCGAAAATAGTCTATTATATATATTTAAATTCATTTTCATGTTTATTATCACAAACTGAACTAAAAAAAAATCCTCCGTAATGTGATATACATTTTTGGTGTTTTTTTCCTCTTCGTAAGCTTCTCGAAAATTTTCAACTTTTTTTTTTCTACATCTATAGTCAAATTACGATTTTCATCTTCTTATTTGTCGGCAATTCATGCGAAATCTTTGGAGCGAAAAAAAGATGCATTGCAATCCGACTGCAATAACAATGCGGGGATTACAATTGTTCATTTGGAACACAAAGAAAGAATGAAAGAAAGAGGGAGAGAATAAAAGCGTCGCGTTATATAATGGATCATAAAGAATTTAAAAAGCAAAATAACCGAAATTCAATGTGAAATGAGAATTGTTTCGCTTTAATAGAATGTTCGATATGTGGAATATTTTGGAAATAAATTTTTTTTTGCTACTTTCACGTTTAAGATTTTTTTTACGTCAACTTATGTATGCAATAAAATTATACAAACCATGTGTCACACTGTTGTGAGATCCATTGTTTTGTGGGGTAAGGGTTTGCATCACATTTAAACTGTGTCGTACGCATCTTTTTTGCCGTCCTCAACTTCTGATATATATTTTTCTTCCTATGTGTATAATAAATATTATAGTGTCTCTCAGAAATTCATTCCACTTTAATTGGGCGTACAATTCATTTATTTGCAAATAAAAGTTTCTGTACAAACGTACTATCAAAGCGAAATGCAAATAATAATGGCGGAATAAACTGCATCTATATTCTTCCCTGTTGCGAAAATAACAATATTTATGGATGCAGTTGACCGTATATTGAATTGTTCCTGGAAATGGGTTATTTTTATCGAATTTATCGGCGAGCAAGCAAACTTTTTTAGCCGGGATTTGTACGAGCTAACTTCATCAGCGCTGATGGATTCAGTTAAATTTTCAGTTAGATTTTTTTCGATTTTGTAACAACATCCATTTGGCCCTTCAACGGATACTATCTTGAATTGGTAAAAAATCGAGATGGGTAAGTAAAAAAGCAAATTTTATTTAGTGTAAAGTGTACTTTTTTCGTTTTTTTCGACACCTCGGACCCCTGGTTGGACGCTGGTAGTGTATTTTGAAATCGATTTGAATATTATTCCTTGAAGAATGAATCAGAAAAAAGGGATGGGACGTTTAAAATGCCAAAGTGTAAGAAATAAAACCCAATTGATATTATTTTGTTCGTATAATTGTAGTTTATTGCATTATACAAGGTGGTATTCGGACTAGGCCATGTTCACAAAAAAAAAACAAAAAACTGACATTTTTTAAGTAGTAAGACAGTTTCATTAGCTTCTCTATGCATGAAGACATTATTTTGTTTTTTTAACATTCGAAGTTTTGCGACAAACTACAGTGTACCGTTTTTTTTGTTCTTCCTGGATTTTTCTTTATTTATAGAATAGAATGGCTTGATTAATTAGATCACCTGTTCTTTTTTTCACTTATAACGTAAATTTTCTTTACATATATGATCCATTTATGCATATTTATATATAGTTTTTTTTTAATTATTTTTTTCTCATTTAATTATATTTATGTTTATATATACTCATTTGATTAATATTGAATTTTGTTATTGTTGTGTGTGTGTGTTTTTTTTTGTATTGAATAAAACATACCTTTAGCTAAAACATATACTAAATACATACGCCGTATTCCAATCTGTATTTTTATTTATCTTACTTAATACGTAATTTTATCGTCGGATGATTTTAAATTATGTTGTGATAATACTTGTTCTTTCGAGATTAATGTTTCCATGAATGACATGTAATAAATGGTTTTTGTTTTTTAAATACACGTAAGGTTTTTTGTTAAAGCATCTATGAATTTTCTCAATAAATACTCTTCTTATTATGAATGTGTAGTGTTTTTTTCTTCTTCTTTTTTATACTTTAATGATATACTTTGATCACTTATTTTAGAACCTTAATGTACAAATACGTTATGGAGACTTCAATTTTACTTTCAATTAGGCTAAACTATTTCTTAAGCTATTTTTCTCAAATTTCATGCATTACAATTAGATTAAATAACATTAATTTCATATCTTGATCAAATCTGTTTGATCTTTGTATCGTTTGTTCTCACGTTTTATGTTTAAATTAAAAGTTTTTATGTGTTTTTAAACTTGTTTCTTTTTTTAAAATAAAATGGCATTTCTATCTTGTTGCTACGTTGATAGGAGAGATTTATGTCAATGTTTTGGTTTTTATATACAACTTTCCTGTATTCGATTTGATGTTGTAACTATTTCAGGTCGAAACCGATACTCACTTAACGAAGACGTCACTAACGATTGATGATTGGTTGGACTCAATAAACTCACACCCATTGGCAATTGAATGGCGGGCTGTGCAGCAACTGGACTGCATGTAGTTACACTTTTATTCCCTCTACTTAATGTTGCATAACTCTGGAAAGATGGATGGAATATTTTTCATTGAATTAATTCAAGTGGTTAAATTAGTTGAAGTGGTTTTATTTTTGGAAAATAAAATCGATAATTATAAATTGAGTTTATTTTCGATATTTTCAAAAACTTTGAGATTTACAATCATTTGCCCCATATATTTTTTTGTTGCATATTTTTCGCATAGATTAAATATTTGTTGGCCAGCATTATTGAGCACTATTAATCGACCATATTTTTAAAATGAAAATTATTAGTTCGGACATTGTGTTCAAAACGAATTCAATGTTATTTCGAAACAGCCAAATTGAAATAATCATTTTCACATATTTAAATTTTAATTGTATTAACTCTCATGCACGGTTTTCAATCTCTACGAAAATAAAATCGAAAAGAATGAAACTGATTTCAACATACTTTTTTCGTCATCGATTAATATTTAAACGAAAGTAATTCAGCCGGAAAAGCAACCATGTCAAATTCAGACGATTGACAATAGCATTTGAAACATTTGAAAAAGAGTTATATCACTCATTGAAAATGTACTGAACACGAAATACATTGAATGAGCTACACTCCACCACAGATCTAATGATAGCACTACGGAATTAGCAAATTAGCTTTCAAATGAGTGAAAAACAAAAAGAACAAATTCATGGGATGAAAAAATTTCCGAAAAATTGGAACCACAGTTTAAAATAAAATGGTCTATACTCTCTATTTTCAGATAAGAAACTGATGTATACTCAACATTAAATTCCCAAAAAATGTGCATATTTTGGGACATAGATCGGATATGAGTTGATTTCTTATTCGAAATGTGGATTTGATTGTACCGAAAATGATTCAATGTATGATCAGCTGGTGGAATAAATAATAATAAAATCGTTTGTTTTTTTCACGCTTTAATGCTGTTCTCATTGCAAATTGAGCAAATTTGGTAATTTCATAGCTTGAATTATTTAAATAGGCTCGTAACAAAATTTGCATTACAGTGTCGATCAAAATCATAATGAATGTTGAAGCGGTTAAATGAAATTTGCAATACCAAAATATGACATTCAAAATTGTGCATCCACTAATATCTATATGTATGCGAGATGCATTTATTCAACAAACATACACAGACACTAACACGTATAATAATTGACAAAATTAAATTGTTTGCTCAGTTTGAGGCTGAAAATTTAGTCCGGGATTTGCTTTTCGGCATTTTTTTTTTGTTATTTATTTTATTTCTCGCTTGGATCAACTAGTTCACATTTTCATTTGCAATTAAATATTAGACTCATTATTTTCAGTTTTCAGAGCTTCGTCATTATTATTTTTGGTGTTTATGTATTTGCAATTGGCATTCATGGTATAATTTTTTTTTATTATTGTTTTTCATTTCACTCTGTTTCATATTCAATGGCTTTAAATATTGTATGTTAAATTTCACTCAAACAAATAAAATCTGCATCATACAATTTGAATAACCAATATGTGTGTGTTCCCATTGTGTGTTGATTTTCCGTTAACATTTTGTTTTATTTTTTCATTATTTTTCTATTTATTTGTGGTGTTATAGGATTCCACATTAAGCAAATGAACAATTGAGATGTATATGTATGCGTATGCTTTATGATGTACTATATAATGCAATTATATTTTGACATTACTTCCACAAACATAATCCAACAAATCAGAACATGTTTTTTCGGTATATGAAAATGATTTGTATGGCGACCCCATGATGGGGTATATAGTCATTGTTTAGAAATATAGGTAATACTAATATATTGTAGGTGTCGCTACGTCAGAATTCACAAAAATTGGAATTTTTCAATAAAACTCTCTCCGAGCAGAAGAGGTACCTCATAAACAAATGATATTTCGTTCTGAGTCCAACTTCTAAAATCAACACGATACGAATATTTACGAATGATCGTTCGGAACGTTTTTGGTTGAGTTTAATTATGAATTATTTTTCCTGAAAAAATTACAAATTTTCCAAAAAAAAAAATGCAATTTCGGATTGTGGCTTAGTGCATTTGAATTGAACGGTGCCGCTTTATACAAAATTTGCTTTCAACGCCGACATAAATTTTAATTTATTATGTATTCATAATTTTGATTTCAGCGTAAATGCATGCAATTTACATGCATACAAAACGCATTGGCTGCAACAAAGCTTTAAATGAGAGCGAGAGAGAGAAGCCTAGCGATGCATCGCAACAAATGTGATGTGGCATAATTAATATAAAACTATTTTCTTGTCAAATATTTGAATTCATAATGAGGCCGATGGGATAACACCATTCGGCTGCATGGCGAATTAAATGCTTTGCACTTGATACTAACAGCGGCAGCAGTGGCAACGGCGGTAGCAGTAAGCCATCATCTAATAAACAATGACCGTCACGCGTGGAAAATTTGTGTATGTGTACAATGTACATGTATGTTTGCGTTAATAGTCAAACACACGGCCGGAATACAAGTCAAATAGATTACTTACAATTTGTTTGCTAGGTTGAAATGTGTAATGGTGAACTTCTTTGTTGTTCATGCCTCCTAAAGAGCAAACGATTGATCCATCGCTACCTCTATACGTATCGTCAGCCAGCAATTTGTCGTGTTGCACCAACCGTGCTGATGGACTTCGGAACAATGGAACTTGTGCGGATGATTTCAATGGTCGTCTCTCTGCAGAAATAAAAAATATGGAAAAGTTGGTGTGAATTTCTATATTGGTACAAAGAAGAAGAATTTCATCATTATTTTATAATTTTATATTTAGAACCTATTGTGATTACTGTTCGCGATTTTGCTCCAAGCCAATTGTATACAAAATAAGATCCATTGAATTCCATTGCAAAAGTATTGATTTTTTCATATACATTTTTTCCTAATTTATTAATTTCGAAAACTATAATTGAAATGCTCTAGTTTCAAATTCGTTTAAAAAAATATTGTGGAAAAGAAAATCAATTATTGAGGTAAAACTGTAATTTTATCCATAAAATCAGTTGGAATTGGTAAATTTTGCCGCATGAAAACTCACCATAGGAGAAGTTAGGAGAATATGAAGGGGAAAATGAATCAAAATTTACATCAAAGAAGTGTGCACTCATCAAAGAACATAACTTTGGTGTAATTTTATTGATACATTGGAAGTCCAATGGGCTTTGGCAAAGTGAAGCCCACGGCCCATGAGTGGAAATTAAAAAACACAATACTTGTTGCAATGGGGAAATTGGCAAAGAAATTGCGAAAATGGTTAAGAATTCATTTTCTTTAGAATTCGACTTAATTTGAAGGGTATGCACATTTTTGGTAATTTTCATAGCTTCTGACGGCGGCGATCTAAAGGGGTTTAATTCCAAAATTTTCCAAAAATGTAAACATAAAAAATAAATTGATGAATTTTGAATTGACAATCCACAATTTTTAAAGGAATAATTTCACTGGTCAGAAGCTATGGTCATTTTAATCTTTTATTTGTTTTAACGGCTGCGGTCCAATCTGGACTCTCCCTGCACGTGCAGGTGGCTCGATCGAATGTCGGAACATTTCTCGAAAATACCTTTTCACGAACGAACATTTAACCGAAAATTCGGAAAATCCACGATTTTTTGGGAAATGTTCCGGCATTCGCTCCTATCTTCAGTTGAATGTGGTTTGTTCTTTCTGTTGTTACTTATTCTTATCCACCAAATAAATAAACAAACTTCGCCTTTAAATAATGAGAATGATGAGAGAGAGAGAAAAAAGGAACAAAAACGAAACGGGAACTAAATCGAAAAGTATGGGAAAAAAGGAAGAAAAGGATGAAAACAAGAAGGATGACAACAGCGGCGGCAAAAGAATTAAAAACAACAACAACACCAACTTCAGCCCAAGGCTCCGACATCGTGATATATACCCACGTTAAAGCAGTGGCAGCATAAAAGTTCCATTGCAAAATTAACGAACATTTCTTAGCATTTCGCGTAATTTCACCGCATGTTTCTTTTAAATATATCAGAAAACGATTGTAGAATAGCGCATGAGGTAGAAAATATTGAAGTGAAACATATAAAACAATGCACACACCACATAGACAGATAATTTAGCGCCAAAGTCGTTGAGAACGTAGAGTAAACTAAAATCCGAATCGGCGGCAGCAACAGCAGAAGTACAAAAAAAACAATAATTGAAACTTTTAACTGCCGAAAATCTTCAAACCATTTTTCTTTCTCTGAATTACAGATTCTATAGACACCCAAAATCAACGATTGTACGTTCTCACGATCATCTTCCAATGACCCAGCATACAAAATCACACATACTCTCTCTCTCTCTCTCTCTCTCACACACACACACACACATCGCATACATGTGCTATATTATAATCCGTCTTGCTTTGTTAGGTTCCATTGCCACGCCGATTTCGTTTCTTTTTTCTATTTCTGATTCGGTTTCCTTTTCATCTTTTCGTACAATCAATAGGAATAAATCATGCGGATATAGCGAAAACTTTTGGCGCGTTGAAAAACTTACAACAGCATTACAATGGTTCGAGATAAAAAGAAGAAGAAGAAGAAGAAGAAGAAATAGATGAGCAAACGACTCGATTCGACTGTAGAGTCGGAATTTGGTTGGTGCTTGTGCATCTTTCATTTCCATTTCAATTTCAATTGTTCAGATTGTACAGGCAACGGTGAAAGCAGAGAAAAGCAACATCATTTCATTTTTATGGCAAACGTATTTCCAGGCATAAATGAAGTCGAATAAGTTTTGGTTGTTCGCTTGCTTTCTGGAATTCGTACTTTTCACTTGTTTCTTTTTCTCTGCATTTTCTCTCTCTTCCTCTCCTCTGTCTCTCTCTCTATCTCTATCTCTATATCACTAGATAATCTCGCAATGTTCCGTGGTCTTTTTCAAAATCCAAAGCAGTCGATATTATTAGACGTTGTTTCGGTTAACTTATTTGAATTTGAAATTTGCTAAATCTGTTTGGAAAAGCGAATTTTCCTCCCACTCAACCACGCACACACACACACACACACACACACACATACCCAATTCGAAATGAATGACATTCACAATGCAAATTGAAGGGAGTGGTATTCGGTGTGGCATTTCGGAACGCAACGCCACAAATCAAAGATGCACGTTCAGAAACATGAATCAATTTCAAACAATCGTGAAAGGTAATTTTCATGTGTTTCTCATTTGCATTATAAATGGTGTGTGTATATACCAGACGAGCTATAGTGCGATTTGCTTCCATCGTCACATTTAAAAACTTTTTAAATGGGGGATAATGTTTTCAAATAGACTGTGATAGATAAGTTGAATGCACGTGAGAGGCGCGGTTAAGCGCATTTAAAAGTACGTCATTTTAATTAATTCCGGATAAGTACCGAATTTCAAATTGTGGTACACAATTAACCCCCTTCCCCTATCTCTATCTCTCTCTCTCTCTCTCTCTCTCTCTCTCTCTCTCTCTCTCTCGAGCAAAGAACAAAAAACAACAGCATTAGCAAAAATAAAATCGAATGAACGCAAAAGATATGAAAAGAATGAGGAAAATCGTTTAGCAAATACGTTGAAATTAGGACAAGGTGGAATGGCAAATGAACGTCGAAAACTATTTGTTTGACTAGTGAATTTTACTATATTATATAATGAGATAAGAGTAGTCGCAAATTGGCATTTCGATATAATTTAAATGCAACGAAATACAAGGAAAAAACTTGATACTGATGCCAAAAATTATTACCACCGTCCATTATTCATGCCGATTGGAATAAAGTTTATCAACATATAATATCATATAATTGAACGTACTGATGTTACAGAATCACGAATCGAACGAATGGCTAAACTTGTTAATTGTTATTCATTTTTTTCTTTTCAAATTGGTTTATTCGATTACAATTGAGTTAGACAGCGAATGATTTGAAATTGCTGGTAAAAGTACTTTATTTTTCGTCGTCGTTCAATTTAATCCATTAAGCTCTTGTTTGAGTTTTTTCTTTTTCTTCATCAGTGCACATATTCTTGTTGAATCAGGTAGCAACAGCAGAGCAAACACTATACATATAATACGATATAATATGTATATTAATGGACACGTTTTCACAATACACTCAATATTATATATGATTTGGACGTTCATTGCTGCACTTAGCATTAGCATTAATCCTTCACTATTGACGTCTGTCGATGTTATCGATAAGTGTTTGCGAAGAGAGACAAACGAAAAGAGAAAAGTTGTTGCCGTGATGACGGAGTCGGTTGGTCACAATATGACCGATCCGAATGGCAATCACCATTATCTTCAAAGTCATGCAAATGTCCAAGTATAATAATTTGCCATGAACCTTTGGCAATGGCGACAGAAATTGCAAAAATCGCGACGAACTTGTGTCTCCTTTGAATAACAATGAAAGTGTTATGTATTTTATGTAAATTTATATTCGGTAGACATTGTATACCCATACGCGCGTATCTGTCCAATAAGTGTTTACTATACACTGTATGCATAGAGATAGAGAGAGAGAAGGCGATTGAAGCATTTTTGTGAATTCCTAATATTCATGGAATCGGGGACTAACAACCGATAAAAATATCAGCTTGAATACTTTAAAGATTTATAATTTTAAATTTCAAATCATTGCATTCACATTGAAACAAGAAAGACCGACTCCGCTTATGCACGCAGACCACTGTATAGCAGAGCAGTTACTCGACTCACAATAAGTCTGATTATATTTTATCTGGGTGGTTGTTTGCTCTGAATGGCGTGAATTCTCTCTATTTTCATCATACCATTCTCTTCTTTTTTTTCGGTGCTAAATTAATATCACATTGATGGCGATGGCGATATTGGCGTGGTGTATCACAAAATCTGTTGTGCATAATGATTATTATTTTATCACGAATTGCTTTGGTGAGTGCGGTGCACGAGATGATAGCACGAAAAAGCTGAAACTTTTCGAATAAAATGATCAAATGTCATAACAATTTGGAAAGTCTATAACGGACACAAAACTTCTTATTATTGTTATACAACAAATATTGTGGCTGTTGTCTTAAATTTTTCCTTCCAACCCCATGCAAATGATACAAAAATGCTGAAAAGATGTTGTGGCCTGAGTGCATACATTTTTGCTAACGAATTGGCAACAAGAAAGGGCGTCAAGAAGTAAAAAAACACATAATCTATTTAGCGGTCGGAGTAACGATTAAACCATTGAAGTTTGCGGAGGGTTAGAGTATTACTGAGGTACAAAATGTAGCTGATATTCACACGATGGACTATTGTATCTGTGTAGTGGTTAAGTTATAAAAGTTATACATTTTTTAGAGTAACTTATTTGTTTAATCGGAATATTTGGTGGAGCTTATATGCTGATCAATATGCATTAGTATTACTGAACACCGAACACTTTCATTTTAATAATATACCAGAAAGTCGACCAACATTTCTTCACCAACTAGAAACTTGATTGCAATCAAACAGATCTCTGTGAAAGAAAATCCACAGCAAAAAGTGAAAGAAATCGGCCGAAAAATGAAAGGCAACGTGGCAAATCCATGCGAAATACAGAACAACATATTACAAATGATAGAGGGTGAGATTAAATTACTAAACCAAAAATGAAACTGAACAATGAACAGTACAAACAGATAAAATAACAGCAACAACAACGCAGTAACTAGAACATGACTGAGAGAATCAATTCAAAGTTTTGCGTGCTATGACGTACGAAATTGGATTGATGCTACAGCGGAAAGAATTTTTCGCGCGTTCTTTCTTTTATTTTTCGTCGCTATGCATTGGCAAGGATCGGCAGGGCAAACCAAAAAACCCTCCCAACGAGAAACCACTTTATACACCAAAAACACTCTCAATTCTGCAGAAAAATGCCGAGATACATAAAGCGAGAGAGAACAAATAGGAAAGCGAAAACTTTTTATGCATTTATTTTGGAACTTGGTGTGTCTGTTTTTGCAGTATTTATTTTTCTTACTCTCATTTTCTTTATTACTGCCTTTTACCCGCGAATTTTTTTTTATTTCTTTTCATCTCTCCTTTGCCACTTTTACTCACTCTTTTATTGTGTGGTGGCGCGTGTTTGGTGCGGCCCATTGCAAACGGATTCAACTAGGATGAATATGAGCGATTACGAATGTATTGCTTGAGAGATAGAAATATATAATGGCTTGAAGTGCGGGATCAATATGGTATTGCATGCGATACGGCACGCAAAAAACTTTTGCACGCGTGTCAAATTCAAGAGCAGATAATAAATCTTAACTTTTAATTTTTCAACGCGCCTTTTCTCATTTCAAATACTCTCAAAAGGATCGCTCTCTGTACGATAGATGAAAAATAATATTTCTGTTCAATAATAACAGAAGAAAGAGAAGAGAAAAAAAAACAACCGAGAAGATGAAATAAGACGGAGGCACAAAAAAAACTGCTCACGATTATTTCCGTGTAGCATCCCTTTTTTCCGTATTATTATTTGTTCTTTCTAAATGATTCTGAACCATTCAATTTTTCTTGCTCTATTTTGCATTGTTCACAGTGCTCATTCAACATAATTCGATCGGAAAGAGATGGCGATGAAAAAAAAAATGAATATACATACACACCGGATGAAGATGTGAGAGCAGACAAAGCCCACGAGTGTCAGAACAAAAAAAAAAAAGAGATGAAGCAGTTGAAATTGAAGTCATTGTGAATCCTTTGCTTAAGCATATCTGACACGAAAAATGCAGCGGAGAATAGAGTAGAAAAAAAAGAAACGAAAAAAAGAGTATTCATTTACTATGAAGTTGCGAACTCAAAAGAAATAGGCAAAACGAAGATTGAAAACCCAAGAAAAGCATATCGATTTTGCAGCAGTTCTCTTCACGTTCAGCCTCCACGTATATACTACAAACTGCAATAGCACATAATAGATATGTACGCCAGAGTATTTAGCTCACATTTGCTATGCACACAGAAGCAAACGTGAAAAATTAATCGCTTTTGGATAGCTAGCGAATGAAATGTAATTCTTCATTTTCTATCTATTGACGTTAGAGGAACAATTCACTGCTACTCTCTATTCAGAACAAGATCTTTACCGCATTCAAGAAGAGAAACGAGATGATTTTTCATTTCATTTTCGTTCTTTTTTCTTTCTTTCTTCGCAGTGAGTGTCTTTCACACAACCATCGTGTACTATTTTATTTGTGCTTGGTGGAAAACTTGCTTGGTTGCAATTGCAGTCAATGGAGAAACTAACCATCACAATTATCACTACCATCTCCGCTGCTGCGGCTGCTGCTGCTGTCGATATCTCTGACGAGTGAGTGAATTAAGCTATTTCTTTGAATCGAATAGAATATAACCAAACAGCGAAGTACATGTCGAGTCAAACTGGCAATCACGCAATCAAATATATATATAAATATGTGCAATTGGTGTGCGCAGCAAACAACAAAAACTAGCTTGCCAACCAAAAAGAAGAAGAATACACATAAACTACGCAATATGGTTGAATGTAAATTTCCATACTGTTCATTACATCTTCTCAAGTTTTCAGCCGTGTGTTTATGTTTCTTGTTCAAGAGCTGGAGAGATAGAGAGAGAGAGAGAGAGAGAGAGAGAGAGAGAGCTGTTGTTAGGCATCACGAAGATGCGGGCACTTTTCTTGTAAACTTGAATGCAGATGCTGCACCTGAACAATATGTGGGCACTCACGCGGTCTACACATCTCCGGTGCCAATAACAGCACTGCAATTGTTAACACCATGAATAGTGTAAAATAAACATTCACATTATTTGCCATGCTCATTCATTATTCGTATATGTTTTCACGCCCTTCAAAGAACCAAAAGTTAGTTTCAAGTGCAAAATAACAAAGGTTTATTAATACTAATCGAATAAAAAAAAGATGAATTGAATAAAATTTAAAACGAAAGAAAAAATAAACAGTTAAACCAAACGAAATAAAAACACGGGAAAGCAGACAAAGAACTGACAAACAAATCATTTGCTCCGTAATATCTTCTCTGCACGAAAACTTCACATTAAAATTGATCAAACGTACACATAACCTGTTATTATATTATAAATGTATAATTATTTAATGTAAATACAAACACAGAGAAATCGTGCCTATACTTTCAATTTGTGTTTTATCCATGTTTTCTCTATTTCGATCCATGTATCTTTTATTCTGATTATAAAATGAAGAAACTTTTATCTTTTGAGAAACATTCAAAACTTTCAAGCACGACTATCAAAATTTGTGAAAATACTACAATAGTAATTTAATCAAAGAACACGACTCAAATTTAATTCTTTGACACGACCATCAAGTAAAATAAGTAAAAGAAAAGCAAATATATGACAAGAATCAGGTTATTTCAAGCTTCTCATGGGTAAACACAGAAAAAAAGCATTATTTTGATTGTCGAATTTTGAGATGTATTTATTTTGGGCCAAATGAGTGTATATTCATTCCAAATATGACTTTTTTCATAAAAACATTCTGAATTCATCACAATAATTGAAAAAAGTCGCTTAAAGAGCTTTGATACTGAAAAGCACTTTGAAGACATCGAATTTTTTGGATTTATAGACTTTTACTATATTTTGTAGTACTCAATACATTTCATATATTCTTTGATATAAACACATTGAACTTCGTTCGATAAATAACGTTTGATGCCATCCATCTTTACTTTTTCGAAAGGGTATTCTACTCGATGTTCAGTAATCACTTACTTTTGTCGATGAAATATCTTTAGTTTTAGTATTGAAGCAAAGTAATAATGTCCCTTTATGACATATCTAAAACTGATTTTAAATTAAATATTGAATGCTTACCATATTGATTTGGAATGACATCAGGATCAGTTTCATCGCCATCGGGTGGCTCTTGATCACTTATCAATTGATGATGTCTGGAATCATTGTTAACGCTTGTGCAATTATTTATCATTGGCGTTGAAACGCCACAAGATGGAACTGTGACGGTTCGTGTGTGTTGTTGTGTTGCTTCCAATTGACAATCAGCTGGTACGACGGGCAATTGCGTATGTTTTGCCGATTTAATATTCTCCTCAGCATTTCTAAAAGATCAATGAAAATCATATAACATTTTTTGGATTTAAACAATTTGATGATGCGCTCGTTTTCGAAAATTAGTCCAAAAGTGAATAAAGTGATTACTTAAATTGAATAAGACGCATAAGACAGTATTAGTTTACTAGAATATATTTATCTTTGTGCGCTGTTTGTACCAATAAAAAAAAACATTCGAAATAAATCAATAATCATCATTGTACAGAAATCAAATGATATTTTTGTCAACAACGAAATTTGACTCATTTGATTTACGCTAACCACGTATAAAATAAACAAACAAATGGTCGAATGAACAAACAAAAAAAAAACAGGTCGCTTTTGAAGCGAGTAAGTTTGAGTATTACCTGTTCGATTGTCGTCGATAGATTGCTCCCAAGACGATGCATACAACAGCAAACAAAATGGCAGCTGTTAGAGTTAGGCCAGCAAGAACTGGTGATATGGGAATACTCGATAAGTTCGATTGACCTAGATGAATGATAAAAAAAACAATATCAAATGATTCATTTATGTGAAATCGGAAAATACAAAAAAAAAATGATAGAAAGTTTTAGATTTGTGACATTTGTCCAAAACGTTTAATTGAATTATATCTACGACTTCGATTGTCAGGCCGCTCGTTTTGGACATTTTATAGTAAATCTCGATTTCGCAGAGGGTGATATTTATTATTTGGTATATATTTTGCCATTATTTATTTTAATCAGTTGTAAACGTTCAAAATTACAGGCGAATAAATTTACAGTGATTTTATTCTTGTCACTATTTGTGCTGTTAAATAAAAACAATTGATAAGTTTATGATGTATATTCCCTATTGCGACTGAATTCTTCATCTATGTAATATCAACAACATCCATCGTGTTGCAAATTACGTAAATCATGGAGCATTGATGTAAAACACGACAACTTCCTTTTTTATAGATGCATAACATTTTTGGTAAATTACTAGTACCTTTGTTACGACCATCGGATTTTAGCATAAACACCAAATGCACTAAATTTATGCCCTCCGAATTGTACATTTCGTCATCGGCAGGTTTTAAGTTTTTATCTAAAGTTGCGTGCGTTCACCATTTCAAAAATGATATTCATTTTGAATGAAAGTTTATATCTATTTGATGCGCGCACGCACATGTGTCTGTATGTGTGAATTCGACTATTTATATGGCAATAGCATTTTAGTATAAAAAATAATACAGTATATATGTATATCCAACACAAGCAGCTCACACATTTATTTATTCTTTATTCCACATAGTCAGCGCCATGTCTACATGTAATTGTGCAATAAGTAAATTATTTTTTATAACGGCAATTATTTATACGAACACATCGACATTTAAGAATGAATCGTATCAATTTTTGGTTCAGTAGTGTGTGTGCGCGTGTGTGCACCTGTATATGGTTATATTATATTTTACATATGAAAGGTAAGTTCGGTCGTAAAATATACATGAAAAACTAAACGCAGAGGAAGAAACGCACATTTGCAACAACATTATTCTGTTTGAATTAAACGTAAAACCGAACAGAATGAGTAGAATTATGGTGGGTGAGAGAAATCGTATGTCGCAAATGCAAAATCCACACAAAATGTGGCACAAACAAAATTTCATTGCTTATCAACGTTTTGGCCATCATTATCATCAGGATGATTTTGCATTCGACGTTGATGTTGTTATGGAATATTCATGCAAATACATCGGCAGTTTACCATCATCCATTCATTTTAGTCAACGTTGTTTTCATTTCGCTTCTCTTTTTTTTTTGCTCTGTAAAATTTTCATACATTCCATAAGATAAAAACAAAGTAAAAATATGCTAATGGAAAAACAACGGGATAGAGCGATAATGGCAATGACAGCAACACAAAAACGCGATCACAACGCTTAGCAGATACGAACACATCAAAAAACATGAGTGAGACCAAAGATAAAGAGCTGAGTGTGAGGAGACGAAAAAACATGACACATTACACACACACACACACAATTGTGTTTCGTTCTGGTATTAATATCAAAAAACTGCTACATTTTTATGGCTCGTGTAAAGTAACGGTAAAGTAAGTAAGAATAGCCAATTGGCATATAAAAATCATTTTGGTAGATTCACACAGCATAATATGTGTTGGTGTAATTCTTTTGCATGTACAAAAAAGGGTTCATGCAGGAGGTGTGCGTAGACTGAATTTCGCCCCTCGCCATTTTCAACCAGCCAGTTTTCAATGCTTTGTCGACCGCACTTTAAATCATTTTTACCTTTTTTGCACCGTATATATTTTATATCATCGAAGTAACATCACAATGTAATTTCGCCGCACGCTGGCGGCAAATGGATATTATGGATATTTACGTACAACTTTTAAATTGAATTAAGTTATAGTTTTATACGTGGGTATCGTATCGTACATATGCGCGTTCATTCAACGGTGCCATCATCATCAACTGTAGATTTTCTTCGCAACGTTTTACACACTTTTTCAAACAAAATCCACACCGAAGCGAATTCGTCGAAAAAGAAGGAAGCTTTCAGTTTTCAAAAATTCAATGCGGGTAAATGAGTGTGTTAAAATATCATGACGATAACTCACAGCCATATTGCATCGACAACACTGACTATGTTAATGATATGCTTTTTCATAATAAAATTGGCCATTTTCTAATATCAAGACGGCGATATTCTGGTCATTTTGGCATTTAAGTCACATAACGAAAACATCAACTTCAATCTCACTTTACACACTTTTAACTTATAGCATGTTGAATTTATTAAGTAATCAATTTTTGCCGTTCATTTTATAATTACAAACACTTTTTAAAACAATAAATTAAATTGAATGGTGAACTAAACGATACTTTAAGAAACAGCAACAAAGCCACCAACACCACTCTGTCCAGATTGAGCACTAGATGTTATATATCTTCTTTCAACAATAATAATATATAGTCAATTTAATCTCAGCGAGCGAGCGTCGATGTAGTGCAATAAAAAAAGCAATGTTTTATGGCAAATCACCTCAATAGACGATGGAAAAATGATTTTAATATTCAAAGGAACAACAACAATAGGTAGATTTTTCATGTGACAGAGATAGATGAAAGATTTTCCTATAAGCTAAAATTTACCTGTATATTTGGCTACACCTTTAAATGTAATATCATCAATTATCGTTGGTTCTGAACGTCCTTTTGCATTTACGGCAAATAAGATAATGCGATAAGAACTTCCTGGTTCCAAATTATCGATATAGAATGCAACAGGTGAGCGCTGTGTAAAACATAAAAAATATATATATTTATTAGTAATTTGTCATTGCGAACAATGCGTCGATAACGATGCACAAACAAATCATATCAAGTAAACAGAAAATAAGTATAGAATTTATGAAAAATATGTACAGTAAAACCTCTATTTAACGAAGTCTCATGGGACTGAACAAAATTTCCATCATCTGGATTTTTCCGTTCGTTTTGTATGGAAAATGTGAATACTGGTCAATCTAAAATCCGCTATCAGGAGCTTTTGCGCTGAGTAGACTTTCCATTAAATAGAGCTTTTACTGTATTTTATATTAATACGTCGAAAAGAAATGAGTGTAATAAAAAATAGATAACTTTTCTACTTTTTAGCAAGTTAAAAACGTTCGTCAGCAACGTTATAGTGCTAGTTCCACAACTTTACTGAATAAAATAGTGTGTGTGTGTGTGTGTGATTTTTAAATGAAAAAGCAACAAATTTCATGAATAGTGGCAATAGACAATATATTCAAATTCATATAAATTTATGATGGATTTGGATTTAAGCATAATTCCAATGAATTCAGTCTCGATAGCAAAATAAACGATACGATTTTATCGAATTTCCATACATTGTAAATAATCATATGATATATTAAAAGAATACTAATATCATTTGATATTGAGTGTGCGGCGATCACCGTGTCCACTAGCTAGTGCATGACGCTCGCATCCATATCGTGGCTCGCATATGATTTAATATTTCATATGATATTTACAATGTATGCGAATTTCTATCAGTTGAACAGAGAACAACAAAGTGTTTTTAATTTTGATGTATTTGTATAATAAATGCAATAAATCTTATCGTTTATATGACAATCTAGAAGCCTTGTGGCAATTGTTCAATGTAAAATCACGTAATTTGTGTAGATTTGAGTTTATGTACGGCATTTTCATAACCCTTTGCATTACGTTATGTAAATTGTATGGCATATATGTGTGGTATTTGTCATTGCGTGCTAAATATATATATATTATTGCCTCGAAGATCATACGCAATGAAGTGGAATACATTTATTATTTCAATAATTGTATAATAGCAATGTTTAAAGCCTCTTAGCCATTTCATATGCCATTTGAAACGGGGCTCAAAGAGCGAGAGAGAAGCGACACAAACGCTTACATGCATATTATTTGGAGCTTTTCTCTGATGTACAGGCTTGCCTGACATTCTGTTTTGGCTGATGGAATTAAAATGCTATCGGATTTATTTCATTCGGATAGAATGCCAAACTAAATATACCACATGGTAAATGGTATCTAGATTATCTCGAAAATCAGTTTTGGATGGAAAGATTGTTTTAACATTTTTCAAATGGTTTCAGTAAATGTCGAATTTTTCGAATCACATGAGCAAATTACGAAGCTATCGTACTCCATCGGCCAAAAGTTTGAAAACCATGTAAAAAAAAAATCTTGTCATTTTATTTTCTTCTTAAATTTTGTATTGAAGGTTTGCATTATCCGTTAAATCACAAAGAAACGTTGGCCACGGCATGTGACCAAATTATGACCGTTCAAAATTTACATAGTATTCCCGTTTTTGTTTTCGGTGTTGTAATACACGTGGAACGCTATGCAAATACCAATATACATATCAAATAATTTATTTACATAAATATGCAATCCTCCCATCCTCGCGCCAATCCATTTAACACTGAAACGAAGCAATCTTTGAACAATCACTGATGCAAATTTTACAATTTGAATCGAAACGATGGCCACCTTGTTGTCCATTTCGGTGTGATTGGATGGCTGCTCATATTGATAGCCGATGATGCATGCAAGCCAACCCGGTCTATTTCCAATAAATGGAAAATACTATGAAATTGGAATCGAAAATTCAACAGTAAATTAAAATTGAATATCGTGATTGTTGTTGATGCTGATTGTTGCTAAATTGCTCAAATAAACTGAAAATTTCTATCGAAGAAAGAGAAAAAAGAGAGACAAAGATATATGTGCTCTGTTGCTAGTTCTCTTGCGAATTTCATAGCTTTATCATTAAATCAATGGGGGACGAAGACATTGGCATTTCAATGAAAAATGTTTACATGTTGATTCGATACAAATCGAATGCATCTCGTTTCGATATAGCTGTGACGTGATAATTTCTTCGTTGCAATTAAATGCATCTAGACTATGCACACGCAGTAGGTGATTATGGTATAAAAGTATACATGTTGTGTGGTGATCATATTGCACTTTCCAATTGGATATTCATTTTTGCATGTTTATGCTTTTTTCCGTTTAAATCTTCATTTAAGAGAGTTCTTTACTGTCTGCACCGCTTAAAAGTGCGGTTAAAACTGAATTATTTAAAAGCAAGTGCAAAGTTTTAATAGAACTTTTAAGTACTATTTCAATTTAAATCGGTAATCGTCTCGATTCTTTGAACTCGATTTTACAGTAATACCATTCAATAGTGGTATACGCTTTTTATTATTAAGTAAAACTTTCATTGAAGATTTCTAATATTCAGAGTCTTGAAATAGTGGGAAATTATGCACCGTACGATTCCAATATTGAGAGGTTTTACTGTATTTTATCCATCTTCAGTTGGATGCATCTTGCTGCGTTGAACATAATATACACAGTACATACGCAGTGTGTGGTTCATCCCACATCCGTCAACACAAAACGTTAAAAATTGTGTGTAGAGAGAGAGAGAGTACAGTGGTTTTGTGCATCGTTATTCACGCAAAATCGGGGCGTTGAAAAGAGAAATTGCATATCACGGATCATCGCACTTACCTGCAAACTTAGGTTTCTCGCCAGTCTTAATGCTGGCATCTCAACTAATTCCAAGAGAAATTGTTGTGGCAAACCGCCATCGAAACCTGGCTCACATTCCACTTGCAGTGAATCACTCGACTGATTTGATACGGAACAATTTTGCATTGGGAAGGGTCGACCTGAAAGTGAAATAATCGTTGTAAGTGCACAATAAATGAGTTGCATAAAAAAAAAATGTAATAAAAACGAAAAAATAAAGCATTTTTTTAAAATTAAGAAAAAAGAACCAATTCAGTGTGATTAAATGTAAGAGATACAAATGAAATATAGTCATTGAAAAGTGTCATTGTTTTGTGTGAACGATGGGTAATTTTTATGTCGATAACATAAAAATAAATGAGCGACCTTTTTTTTGAAAACGAAAAAACGTACAAGATTTTTTCCGCTTCAAAATTAAAATGTGGCAAATATCTGATGAAATTGAATTATGACGACGACGACCTCAAATTAAGAAGGAAAATTTTAACGAGAAAAAGTTGTAAAACGAATTATCTGCGATAAAACACCCACATTTATACGCACACATACACACACACACACACCTAAAGACGCTCGAAACATACGCGCCTCTCCACAGCTATTTCTATGTGAAATGCCAGCTACAAAATGCAAACTCCAACCCGAGACTATTCAAAAGCATCTCACTTTCATTCTTCACATTTTCCCTTGTACTTTTTAATCATTTCGTAATTTTTTCCTTCAATTTATTAACCTTATTTCCTAGATTGTGTATGCCTGCGTTTCCATTTCATTGCCAGCCCACATCTCTTTGACATTTTTCACAACCATACAACACTATCCAGAATTCGTTGTTGATGTTGGCGTTGCCATCGTCGACAAGCGTTATGAAAAATACACTTTCTCATGAACCGTATTTTTCAAAGTTTCGGCAAGTAAAATAAACTCTATTATAATAAACATTTCATTCACCATTTTTTTCTTTTCGTGTCGCTCTCGCTCTCCTTCTTACTTTCTTTCTGCTTCTAAAACGACGTAATGAGATCCTGAATCAACAACCGTGCATTTTTCATCGTTGACTTTATGTCCACCGAATAATGAACTCTCCTTATGCGTAGTAAGATACAAACCATTACGAAATAACAAGAACCGTGATCCATGCATACATACAAAATTGCGTTACTCGCACATACACACACACACACACACTGTCGAACGAGAGCAGTGCGACACGAAAGCAAGACCAAATAAAAAAAAGAAATATTCTAAATACTTTTGTGTATAGGGTGAAATTACACAAACAACAAAAGCGACAAATAAAAATGACGGAAAATGAAACGAAGTTATGAAAAGAAGGCAAAAAAAAGATGAAGTGGAAGAACGGAACAACTGAAGTAAGAAGGGTAAAGGAAAAAATGAAAGGCTTTTGAATTTCATAAAAATACAAGACGCAAAACACAAAGAATGAGAAAGACACACATACAGAGAGAGAGAGAGAGAGAGAGAGAGAGAGAGAGAGAGACGGAGAGGAAAAAATTCTCACAAAATACAAACTCTCACACAAATTGTAGAAACTACGACCGTTACGGCATTTTTATTCACCATTCAGCGTTCACCTTACGACAGCCGCCATATGAAAAGCCGCTCTTGATATTTTTCAATGTTCAACCATGCACTGTCTCGCACGTTTGTAATTTTCCCTATTATGTGACTACATAAAAACACTGCAAAAGACCCAAAATAATACAGCACACGCAAGGAGACGAACACAGAGAGAGAGAGAGAGAGAGAGAGAGAGAGAGAGAGAGAGAGAGAGAGAGAGAGTGAGTGAGTAGGCCACAACCAACAACAGGAGTTGAAGAAAACGGACTAGCGAAAACAAGTAGACCAACCAGCAAAAGTGATTGGATTCTAAGAAGTGCAAGATGTAGAATAGCTCTAGAGGTAACGGCATATAAGTGGCCAAAAAATAAAGTATGCATGGCATAATGAAAGATAATAATAAATGCGAATACTTGGAGCACATTGAATGAGTTTAATAGTACCATTGGAACCTCTTGTGCATTTTATAGAGCAATATAAACACAATTTTGTTGTACAGGAAAATTTCCAGTCAATTCCATATACACATAGACATAAATGTATAGACGACAAAATCCTGTTTGGAAATGCCACATATTCCCCCATTCATGAACAACGACGACGAAGTTGAGAAAAATGTTCCATTCATAGGCAACTACAATTTGATCGAGCTTCAAAAGCGTGAACAAGTAAAGATACTTTCTTTTGAGGTGTGTTTGTGCATGTGTGTCTCTCTGTGCTGTGTGTGTGAGAGAGAGAGAGAGAGAAAGAGCGAGTGAGTGGACTACTATAGAATGAAAACAGAGCACAAACAACAACAGATTCATTGCAGTACAAATCGCAAAGACATTTTCAAGTTACACCATTCTGTTATTTTGTTGGTTAATTTTGGCGCATCGATGTGAATTGTAACATTCTTGTTGAATTGTTGTGTATACCATATTGTATTTGCAAAGTGCCTGCTTCATTCAAAATGATGTTCATTATCGGATCTGTGTTTTCCTGTGCACATAATATCACCGGAGTGCTATGCAATATTCAAATCACTGTGTATTGCTCATTCTATAAGAAAAGCCATGACACAGCACATAATCACATGTATGTGAGACAGAAGAGAATGAAACAAACAACAACAACGAAAAAACAGATGAAAATTTCGATAATTTATGATTATTTAAGCTAACATGTGTGCTCAACAATCAAAATCAATGTTTTTTCTTTCGCCAGTTTATAAAGTGTTTGAAGCGCCAAGATTTTCCCAAATGTATGTGTGTAGTTTTTTCTCACTTGGACGGTATTTGTTTGGCTTGTATACTACCATTTAACTTTTGTACATATCTAGTTTTATTCCCCCCAAAAAACTATGACATACACGATGACTAGTGGCGGAAAACATAATATTGCGGTCGGCAAAATTTACATGTTTCGCACGTACTTTGCAAAAATATATATAACAGTGGCGCAGCAGTAATGCACAGGAGATGTGTAACGCCGACAACGATGAAACATTGGACTCGTTCAACCAAACAGCCACAACTTTCAAATGAAAACAAAACACTCGCATAATCACTAGAAAACAACTGTATATAAGCTTCAATCGAGATACTGGTCTCCTTCAAGAAAAAGAGACAGCCAGAGAGGGCGAGAGGAAGATTGTTCGAGAGCATACCTTTAGACAGCATAAACAAGATAAATGATACGATTCGTTGTAGAGATTTGTATATAAAATAAAAGCCAAAATAATAAAGGCCAATTTGAGTAAACTCAACAAATGGAATGAATAAAAATATCATATTCATCAATTTATTTGGATTTTTCGTCTATCGTCTAAGAGAAAATGAATCAAATGACATTAAAATCAATAATTTTGAGTTATGTTGATAGATTTTGATGTGAATTTAATTGTTTAAGCTGCATTATATATAAAAATAGCAAATGAAATGGACACTTTTTATTGTTTTCAGAATGCATCGTTGAGGTAAGTTTGATAATGAAAAATGTAACGTTTTCATTGATGGTTGAGTGATTTTGATGGAAAACTTTTTAAGGGAAATTTTTAAAAAATGTCCGACACCTGTAATGACAAATTCAACTCGGATATTTACTTTCGCCTATTTCCACTTTAACAATCTACTTCACGCACATTCAAAACACCATAAAAGCAATACAATTTTCACAAGCATCTCGTCATTTTTCGCCGAAACCAAATCATCGTCAGCATGGATTTCAAAATCAGATAAAACACGAACGAGATTAAATACTAACACAAAACATGACGTGAAGTTCACAGAGTGAGAGAGAATGAATTTGAAAAAAAGAAAAATCCTGATTAAACTGAATTGGATGTATAATTTACCTGCAGCAACAATTTGAAATATGCATGGTGATTTCTGCACTCCGATTGCATTGCGTCCCCAACAAGATATCGTTCCATAATCTAGGTCATTGGTTGGTGTATAATTCAAACGTGAAAATCCCGTCTGTAGTCATTGCATTAAAGAAAAGAGATGAAGAAAATAAAATAAAGCGAATTCATAAGACGTGACAAAATATTGCGAAAAATTTATTTGAAACCGAACAAGAATCTCGTTCGTTTCGGATTTTGAGTGTAAATACTATAGTATATATTCTTTTTGTATTTTTCAACGTCACAAAATCTGATAAAAAGCGTCAGGTCAAACCTCGCTCGAATGCAGCCTCGCTGGAAGATCCGTTGGTTCGCCGGATGAATTAAAGGTCCAGTGGAATGAGTCGGCTGGTGGTGAAGCGTCAACTTCACATTTTAGTGTGAGTGTTTCGTGCTTAAGTGCGCCCAGCAATTCTTCGTGAGTCGAGCCACAAACTGGTGCATCTGCAAAAAATAATAATAATAATCGTAAAGAAATACCAAAGTACCGTTCAAATGCCGATGCAGAAGGGAGTGAGAGAGAGAGAGAAAGGACTCTTGAGCCCGTACCAGATATGGTCAACGATAGCAAATGCAATAGCAGAAAATAAAGCACACAAGTTTAACTTTCTTTTTAATATTTGATAAAATGTAATGGAAAATTTTTCTATTAATTCGAAAGTAAGCGATCAAAAGAAATTTAGAAGCAATAAATTGCAATGCAGTCCTGAATATTGAAACGTCGTTTTCAAAAATCGAATGGGAATGGGAAATGGTGTGTTTTCAAGTGTGTCTACGAATATAAATATAGAAATTCGTTAGTTGTTACGTGCTAGTTAATAAATTGCTCCACACAAAAATTTTCCGCTCCCAATACGGAAAAGTGAATAACTGTTGAGAGCAGAAAAGTTTGCGTTTTCTTAAACAAGCAAAAACATTTCACTGGTTCGTACGCTCTTCTTCGAGAGCGATTCGGTTCGTTATTTTTATGGTTTCATCGTTTGTAGAAAATGTTTAAACTTATGACAGAAAAGACAGAGAAAAAAAAAGTTTTCTCTCTTGCTCTTCCCGTCACATAATTTATGGAAGGTGAAACAAAGACTCAATGAAATCACACAAAAATCTTTCTGAATCTTATTAAATATTTAATTACATTACGTACAAATATAATATGCGGGGAAAATGAATAATCAAGTGAGCAAGTATTTATTTCGGGAGAGAATTTTTTTTTGCATTGAATGTGTAAATGCGTCCATTTGTGCGATGTCTTTACATGTGAACGGTAAGTGAATGAACAACGGTGTACATCTGTGGTACAGACATGTGACCATTTTATCATTATGTGTGTCTCTCTGTGCTTGAACGTTGCTGATATTGTGTTATTAAGCAGGAGTATATAACAGAGACTGTGTTGCAAGCGACATGACTTAAACGGCGCTGATGTAGACGGGTTTACCTACATACATTGTGATATACATAACGGAAACGAGCGTTCCTCTCTCAGTTTTTCTTCGATCTAACTTTGTGCCTGAATAATTGTTTCATTTTCTTTGCACTACATGTGTAGTGTGTTCCAGTACACCAACACAATGGTGACCTTTAAAACCGACCACTTTTTCGGGACTGAAAATTTATATTCCATGTATTTAAATTAATGTCATCAGCTTCAATATACAATATATATTGTATATTCTTTGTGGTTATAATTTTGTGTCTTTAAAACGGCTTGTACATTTCAAACGAGGTGAAAAAGCGAACTGTTTAATATGAGTTGTTTCTGGTACAGCCAAAGCTTACAGTGTGTGTAAGTTTGTATACGCAGGACGACGGTATGATGTGTATGTGAAGTTTGTTATGTAGAGCGGACAAACCGAAAATTGCAATTTTATTTCTATTGTAATGGCATCACCACTAAATACGCTTGAAATTGTCGCATATACTACGAAAGAGTCTTAAAAGACTTAAAACTGTAGTTTACTGGAACAATCGACTGTAAAATAGAAATTTGATGTACAGAAATAAATCAACAAGATTGTATTTGGTGTTGTGAGGCGAGGCAACATTTAATAAGCACACTGTCTTTCAATTCGCCATAATCAGCTAAAAGAGACGTATAGATAAATAAATACACACAGTGAACATAGTGTTCGACACGTCTGGTTGATGGTGTGTGGCCAGTGTATATTTTACAGTCATTTTCATTTTCCATGCACATGAATGAAGTTCCAACAATTCTAGTAACAATGTCATTATTACAGTCATTTTAACAGCAAACTCATACGCAATACAAAAGTCTAGTGCAAAGCTTATGCACGGAGAACGAGAAAGAGTGATGAGAAGAGTGTGTACAAAATGACATTCAAATGCTATGGCCCGGTACATGTAGTAAACAAACCACATTTGTGTCGTATGATATTGTCCTTGCTTAAAATATTACCATCGATGTGTGTGTGTGTGTGCATGTGATTCGTTTGGAAAATTCCAATCAAAACCGGAAGCAGCATGCACTCGAGAACATTAAGCGCATTATTACTTTATATTTCCTCTGCTTGCACACAATAAACGTGCACACAATAGCCGATTTTTGTATATTTGACCTTTAACTATGAAATCAGATTTTCCTCCTTTTCTCCCACTTATGGATCACACACACACACACAAACCAAATCATCGAAATAAATTCCATATTTCAAATATAATTGAAACAATTTGAGTGAATGAATGAACATTATTTGGACATTTCAAGATTGATATACAATCGTATTATGCAGTTTCGAAATGTGAAATGTGTTGAAATATTTAGTAATTGCTTTTTAACACGGAAGAGGATCACAAACGAGAGAGAAACCGGAAATCTGAATAATACAGTTCATTGAATATCGTTTCATTCATTTTACCATATTGAATCTTTGTAGCACTCATATAGCACAATCGACAATGGAATTTCGTTGAATTGACGATGAACCAAAATGCATTGATTAACTCTGTATAGTACAAGTACAGTCGAATATAGAACGATAAAATACAGTGTTTTTCATACAAGTCATCTCAACGTGATATCAAAACCTTTATCGTCTCGTCGTATTACCACTATTGTACAAGGTGGTGCACCTTTTTGTTGCTTTGATGTTCCTTTTTCCGACATTCATATCGACTTTCGGTTATTTTGTTCGTTTTACTGCATTTTGCTCATTTATTCAAGAGTGTATTAACTGAATACTAAATGCACACCGTATACGCAACATTTCCACTTACATCCACGAAAGAGAAAAAAAAAACATCGAAAGAGTTGTAACAATTCACATGTTCGATCTACAATCGGTTGAATCGCTTAACGCACAAAAATGTCTGTCATTTGAAATTGTCGATGAGATGCATATTTATTAAAGTGTGTGCTTGTGATTGTCATTCTTAAGATTCGACACTGTCCATATTTCATGCATCTTTTCGAAGCAATTCAAATTCTTTGCTACTGATGTTGTCAGACATTGAGTGTGCGATGCATATAGTAAGACGCGCGTACTTCATTTCATTTAATTGAATTTCAATCTTTTGACATATATTTACTCTCGTCACGGATTTGCCAATTCTTTTTTCATTTTATTTGTTGTACTTAACTCTTTTTTTTTAGATAAAAGAAGATATAAAGCACGAGCAAAGAGAGAAGCAACACCTAATTCCAACAACTTACTGAGTGTGTAACGAGACGAACGAAAAAAAAGAGTAAGAAATGCAATTTTTTGTCTGCTTTCCGTCGCTCACAACAATAGAAAATCGAAAGCGAACGATACATTTTGTATTAAAACTTGATTTTACTTACATCGTACACGTAGTGTGACTGGATTGCTAGTTCCTTTTCCTTCGGTGTTTGCAGCAAGACATGTGTAATCACCTGCCGATGCTCTTGTCACACTTTGAAGCACAAGAGATTGATCGGTTAATATTATTCCAGCTGTTACATTGTGATGCAATTCGACGCCCTGGTTGTGTGTGGTTGTTTGTTGGTTTGCATGCAAAGAAAGAAATCAAATGAAGTATAAGTTTTTTTGGGGGTTCACATTATATTACTTTCTTATCATGATATAAATAAAATAGGATAAAATTGAGAACAATGTTTGGTTTGTGTTGAAAATGGGAATGAACTGAGTTGGGGAAAGGTGATGATTCTTTAAAGAGGATCGTTGAGGATGAGGACATGGAAGAGGAGGAGATGAAAGGGGGGACGGCAAAGCCAAAGGGATCATAGCTATAAAAAGATAAAAGCAAACATTAACATGGTGAGGGATATAAAACGAGATTGAATAAAATATGTTCTATTCATTTATCTATTTTTCTCCCTTTTTTACGATGAAAACCAATTGCTGAAACCTAGCAAAGAATCGTTTGTGCGCACGATTGTATCTGTTTATCAAAATTTATTTCGTTTTAGCATCGATTTTTTTCGCTTTCCTTTTTGGTCGTTCGTGTATTCTTTCTTCTTTGGTTAAAATCTTTATTTTTCGCATACCATATTGAACCAATTGTCCAAGCTTTGGAGGTCTTTTCGACACTTTTAAATAATCGCAATTTTTACTAACGCCAAAATTTAAAAAAATGAGTATTTTTCTTCAATATGAAGGAAGAAATATTATTTTACGATATCGCGTCAATGGAAGCTTGTTGCGAGCCAGTATACCATACACGAAACGGCATCAAATAAAATCATCAATTTGTGAGGCGAGTGAGATACAAAAAGAAGAAAAAGAGAAATCGCGTGAAATATTGAAATCAATGGAACGAATAGCGAGCAGACAGTGTGCACGTTCGCGTAAAATCGCAATGATAATGGCTTCTTCTGGTGACATCATCGTCAACCACTGCCATCAGTTTCGCGAATTTGTCTAGCATGAAATGAACAAATTGATTCAATATAGAAAAAAAAACACACACACAAGACATAAAAAGAAGGGAAATAACAAAAATATCGAATACATGTACATGAAGAGATAATGTAAGAATCGGCAGCGAAGTGGAGAATGGAAAATATTGGATGCTGGCCTTCTTAACCGCCTCACTGCACGCATTTGCCAGTCGCGCTTCGCAAAGATTTGAACAAAATATTCAAAGAATGATTTACATGCAAAGCGTGCAACACTTAAAAGCGCAACTATAAATTTTCGCATAGAAAACACAAAACATGGATATAGTTCCAATAAGATTTGCTGAAATTGGCCAGAAAGTCGAGGTGAAGGCCAATTTAACCAAAACAACACAGACAAAATAGCATCACTTTCTTATGCTTTTACTTTTATGTGTATGTGATAGATAGACACACAAGTTTGCCGAAGGATTGTTCGCTTTTACTCAACTACTTCTAACTGTGCAAACAGTCAAGCCAATTTTTTTTTATTTTCATTTTTTGTTTCGTCGTTTTATTAGCTATAAATATTCCTTTTTCCATCGATTTATCGGTCGTTAGGCATGTATGAGCTCATACTTGTTTCATGTTCGTAAACAGGCGTCACGGAGAGCGATTCTAAGAAAATATGCTGCCGAACGAATATATTGAACACAGTGAAAACAAATTCAGCTTTATATAGCCACTTTACATACATTTTATATATGCATGGCGAATTGAAATGGCTCCACAATTCATTCGTTCACCACTTTGCTTCTAAATGTAAAATAGCAATAATGACGTCTTTGTTGTTTAGTAATGTATCCAGTTGTATTTTGGTTTTCTCTACCCATTTTTTAAATATATTATGCTTTGTATAGTTGCTTCATTTAGAATTTTTTTATTTTTATTATATTTTTTACATGACGAATTGCGCAACCACATGTGTGTGTCTATGCGTTTACTTTTATGTGTGTGAAATCGTTTGTTCATATGAATTGATATGAAACCAGTTTGTTTTTTTTTTGCCAATTTGTTTCAATCGTTCAGTGTTCTGCTTCAATGTTGTGGTTCTACTGTTGCTGTTGTTGTATATTTTGCTTTAGTCGGTGTTTTTTCCTCACTATTATGTTTTGTCTATTCAAGCGTCGGTTGGAGCAGGACACATTGACATACGAGCAAATGAGGATAAAATAAAAGAAACGTTGCTAACATGAACAAAGTATAACGTCAAATTGAGTCGAGATAGAGCTGAATGCATACGCAAAAAGCTTGTTGAGCTCCACTTGCTCCACGGCAACAATGTAGATACACACATACATGTGTCGGAAGTAAGAGCCAACAAAAGAAGCGTGAAAAAGAATCAAAGAAAAACCATCATTCTCCGAGAAAAATATTGAACGAACACGATTTTTCTTTTTACAGTGCAATGCACAACACATCGAATGAATGAGACAACAACGGCGTGCGACAAACAAAAAAAAAACACACGACGACGATATCGTCGAAGCCATTTATTTGTCGATTTATTTGATTGTTGCTTTTTCATTGTATTTCATTCCACTTGTCATTTTGTAGGGTTACAATGTGCAAGACTTATTTTTACAACAATGTAGCATGTTGTGTGTGTGTTTGTTTGCTGAAATCATTCGACGAATGTTCATTTGCTTCATGCACGGCTTGTCAATGCGTACATCGAGATAAGAGAGAATGACAGGACTTTTATGACTACATTCCATGCATGCGGTCCAAGCAGCGTATAAACACGACGCAATTGGTATTTATCCAATAAATCGTTGATGACCAAAGTGTGAGCTGAACCGTGAAACGGATGCACATTCTCAATAAATGGTAAACAAATTGAGTTGTTCGGTTGTTTTTTAATGATTTTTTCGAGCTAAACAATGATTGAGTGGAGAAAAAAAGACGCTGGAAAAAAGTAAGCCATCATTTTATGATTTTAAGTGTGGTTTTTTATGGTTTGTCAATTCAACAAATGGAAGATGACAGCTTGTTTAACACATAAATTGAAACCATAAATCCAATATTTTTGCTACCACTTCAATCTGATTTCATTTCAATGAATCGTCTTTGATAAGTTATGATATTGGGTGGCTCACAAATCAAGGCCACATATTTTCGCTCATTATTTTTGACGGAAATTAAAACTCAAACAGAACAAAATAATACTTCATTGAGTTTGTTTTCGTAAAGAAAGCAGTCTGTTTATCTATCTCAAATATCACTGCATATATAATAATGCCGAAGTGCCGAGGCATATTGTATGTGTATGCGTATGTGTGGGTGGCTCAACCTCCTGTGAATTGTTCATATTTAATTAACGCCTATCTTATTACAACACAATGACATAACGTATATGGAATATATTACTGGTGTCGGATATCGATTGCAAGCGACAATAACAGCCAACGAAAACAAAACATGGCAAAAAATCAACGGTTTCAACAAAAAGCACACAGTGTGTGTGAAAACAAGAAGATTTTCGCGTACTCCTACTGAAGTTAATTTATATTCTCAGTGTATGGGCTCCTTCTATTTGGATGCTGCAAAAAAAAAATGTAGAAGAAAAAGAAAGCTATTACTTACATCATGATACCAGGCCATTTTGTATGGTTTTGGGTTCGATCGTACGGTGCATTCAAAATAAACGCCATCGCCTTCTTTAATATCATCCGGGTTAAGTGACGGTCCCATCTTTAACGTTACCACTGGCATATCTGATAAGAGAAGACACAATGAAACAAAACGAAATGTGAGAAACATGGCAATATAGAGTTAGAAAGCAAAATCAAATGAGATGGGATAGAGAATGTTGAATGAGAAACGGCATAAAGACGTATTCCATTGACGTATATTTGAAACTGTAAACACCAGTTTGCCGTTGATTTACTGTCAATAATGAGAAATTAACCCTTTGATCAGTATTTAACACACGACAAAGCATCTCGTACCAATTTCAAACATTTATCTGGCGGGTAAAATGAGTGTAATTTGCTCACTTTAACATGCAATGGACAAACGAGAGAATGAGAAAAGACAAGAGAAGATAGTATTCGAAGATTTCAAATAAGACCAAAAGCAATGCCAATGAAATAGATCTATGCCGTTAGCTGACAACAAAAGTAAACACCAGAAAAGTGCCATTTGTCAGCCAAACGCCATCAAGCAAAATCGAGTTGCGATAGATTTGATTGCATTTGTGAACAAGCTCTCTCTCTCTCTCTCACTCACTCACTCACTTACGCTTTATTGTTCGCGTCCAATTCTGAATAAAAGAAAACCAGACGAGAAACAACTTCACATCTTACTTCACAGCTTTGAGTAGATGACAATCTCTCAAATCGAGCCAACATCGTGTCACGTGCACACTTTATAATGCTGTATATATATATATACAATTACGACAGATGGTAGCCAATGAACGAAGGTTTAAGTAATGTTTTCCAAAAGGTTAGTATTAAATTTACATTTAAGAGCAATTGACGAGGTTCAATTGACTTTCTGTTTCATTAAAAATCAAATATACACAATACGAATGACCGTAATAAAGTGTAAAAGCATTTCAAGCATTCTCTTTTCATCTTTTTTTTCAACCAATTTCTCCACTGGAATTTTTTTTCGCACAAATGTCATTCAAAAACAGTCCAAAACTGTCTCTGTGGCAAAATGTTCGAAATAATGGAGACAAAAGTAGATTTGAAAAAATCAGGAAATCGATGCCAGGCGGTTATTTCTGTTAATTAATTAGGTATAATATCCTCTTTGAATCCTTTATTCACGCACGGACACATAAATTCTTAAATTGGTACGTACAGTGCACATAGAGAAAATGAGTTTTTGCATCTAAAATTAGTTTTTTTCTGTGTTCGGTACTTGTATTTCCTTCAATCGCTTTTCCATTTTTTACAAACATTTCGTAAAAAATTCTTTGAAAAGACCGTACCGAGATAATGACCAAATTGCCACACAACTAGCGCCAAGACGGAATTCAGGGTTATTTTTACTAAGTTGCCGCCAAGTAGTGAAGAGACTTTTGCTCAATTGCAACCAATTGACTAGAACTCCATGTGCTACAGTTTTGCATTTTATACCGGCCCTTATGGAACATATTTGCAGTATGCAAAAGACAAAACTTAGACAGACCACAAATCTTAAACAGCTCACATATTAACTGTAGTGGTTGTTAGAGAAACTAGGTAGTGTGAGAAAATTTAATATCGTTTGATGTATCGCCAGACAATATATTTAGCTTCCGTCATCTGGATATTTCAGCTCATCTGGATGCCGTCAGCAGATGATGCGAAGTGAAAACAATAGAAGTGATTGTTATAGTAATACCAGTATATAACAAGCTTATATACCTATAACAATCACTTCTATTGTTTTCACTTCATATCATCTGCTGACGATATCCAGATGAGCTGTAATATCCAGATGACGACAGCTAAATATATTGTCTGTGTATCGCACAAAGTTCTTCTGCAAATTTTTATTTCCTTCGGTCAGAGAACAAAGGTAATTGCAAAATATTCATTACATGTTGATTGGCGTGCGGAAAAACCTTGTAAATAAAGAAATTTGGAAGCGAAAGATATGGTAAGCGCTGTCCTTTTTTTCTTTCCGATGAAAATACAATGACGCCATCACACGACGTATCAAGATCTAAAATAAACCTTACATCATTTGACACTGATTGAACCAGAAATGATACTTTACTGAATGAGCAAGTCTACATTACTGGATCAGCGTTTGACTCATTTTCTTTTAAAAATGTGTGGGATTTTTCTGAACGCTTACCAGATGTGAAATTTAATGATGTTATTTAAATAAACACCCATTAAGCTGATTCAAAAACCTTCTTGTTGCATAGCTTCTGAGGGGTTGGATTACCCCATTAGAAATTTCCTTTTTTTGAAAAAAATATTCTTTCAAATTTGCTAGGGATTTTCGCGAAAAACGTGAAGACCATTTTTTTGCTCTTCACTTTCTAAAGCGGTAGAAAATATTGAATTTTGCTAGGGTTTTTTGAGCCAAATGCTCTGAGACACCTCCCCCCCCCCCTCCCCGCATCAGGAATGAACGATTCAAAAATGCATTTTTGAATTTGTGAGAGACCAAATCGAAAAAGTAACACTTTACATTTTTAGAAAATTTTGAAATTACCCCCCCTTGCATCGTCAACTCCAGAAGCTATGTCTTGCCGAACATTTTTTTCCGCAATTAAGTGAATTGCAGACGAAAAAAAAATAATGAATAAAATGTTCAACCATTTGTAAATCAAACACAATGATTGCATAGGTATTTCGTGGAGATGCAATTTATTGTACCGTTAAATAATTCGAAATGACAAAGCTTCGCTAGTAAATGTCATCATTTGTTTCTTTTCCATATCTATCAATCTCGTTCTCGTTCTAAATAATTCTGTTATCTGCAGCAATTATTTTCGTACCGTGATTCAATTGTCTATGTTCTGATATAAATTTTATGCACTCTTGCACGCCAAAAGTTATGAGCAGAAATTCATAAGTAAAACGACAATGAAATTATAACTAAGAAATATTTATATAAATGAAAATACAAATATCGTATATATAAGTTATCTGTAGTGACAGAGATGGATGCAACAGCATATACATACAGAGTAAAATACATAGAAGGATAAACTGGATAGCATGAAAAATGTTGATGGATGTCGAAGTATGATTTTCACCACGAAAAACGAACTTGGTTTGATCTGTGATGAAAAGGACATAGATTACATTTCGCATTCTTTTTTTAATAAATTTTTCCTATTTTTGTATCATCGTGCCGTCGTCTGTGTTTCATCTTCTGTTTTGAAATTTGCGATGTGATAAAAGTGTTATTTGGTAATTCATATTCTTTTGATAATCCATTAGTATTGCACGAATTTAAGCAGACAATATATTGAGCTGAATATTCATTTGAAATGAAACGAAATAGCACGCTATTTTTGATAAAACAATAGAAGTGATTGTTTTGGTTATAAAACACTTACGTTGTTACAATAATTATAACAATCACTTCTATTATTTTATCAAAAATAGCGTGCTATTTCGTTTCATTTCAAATGAATATTCAGCTCAATATATTGTCTGAATATTTAAGTCAAGTTTGAAATAAATGGTGATATTTCGAAATGGAATGCCTTTTCTGTTTTTTCTATTATAATTTGTATTGAGGATTAATTTCATCTATAATTTTGAATAGATTGCATCTTTTATATAATATTACTTTAAAGGCATAGATTATAGCATACAATGTACTCAGTGACAAAGACGAGAGCATGCTATATATACACAATATATTTTAATTTGACCATTGAACTGTAAGTTTAAAGTGGCGCCTCTGTGACATTTTACACAATCTACCGATATCCGCAACATTTGTTTGACAGTAAAAAAATATGTAGCTACTACAATTCAACGATTTCGCATTTCTATAATGATAACAATAATAATATAAAATACTCAAATGAAAACCAAATTGATATATACATTTTCCAATAAGACAATGAATTGTTATTGTTACTCAAAATTGTAAACATAGCAGTTGGTCGCCCTTAAATGGCAAAATATCCCCGACATTTATTGTGACACAATTTCGCAAATTATTACCTTCATGTCGTTTGATATATTTAAAATGTATTCTAATAATATTAAACGTAAAAGAGTTATTTCCTTTTGTGGTGTGGCAACAAAATGCGGATGTTCTGATATTTTAAATTGCGACTGCATTCGTGCAATTCTGGAAAAGACTGTGTGTGTGTTTTTTTTTTTATTTCTCCGTCTCTCTGTCTCTTCTCCTTTTAACGAGTATATGTCACTCCTTCAGAAATACGCCTTGCCACTTTCAATTGGATTTAAAATTATTATTGGATTTTCTCTGTTGCAATTGCACCCATTTTCATTCAATTCAATTATAAAATAATTGCAAACGGAAGAAAAGCAAATTGTCTTTTTCAATTAAAAATGCGCAAAAACCCCTTCCGTTCATTTATGAAAATTAAATCAAGTGTTTCGCGGAATTTCGTGTATGTACCGCTTCCTCTCTATATTCTCATTCTTTTCAACTTATCATAAAACACGGCAAAACCGTTTATGTTTACATTGCATTTAATATTATGTCTATATGGTTTATAACAATAAGGTTGGCACGCAAAGATGATTTGCATAAAAGGTGTGTGTGTTTTCATTCACTCAAAATCCATAGAATTCTTTTTAATTTTTCGCATTTTCCGGGTTTGGTTTCGGTCGTCAAGCGTGTGATCGTGATTATATCCTTTTTATTTGATTTGACTTGTGAATGGGTAAAATTTTATCGAATCGAGGTTAATTTGGATATATATTTGAATTCGATTTAATTAGTGATCACATAAATTCGAACAAATGCTCATAATGGTATATGAAAATAATTAGTGGTTATTGAGAAAGGGCAGATTTTGCCCCTATTGCTTGATTGTGAATTGATTTGTTCATGACTATATATTCCAGTTTTTGTATGATAAACTATGATAGCAATCGCATATAAACCAATTATACACTTTAATACATAATACTATTAAATGAAATTCAATCGCAAAATCTATTTTCCTGACGGTGTGTCTGATGGTTGAAATTCATCAATCACCGACCAGTGCTATGTATTTATAAGTAAATATGTCCTTCACTAAAAGGATATGACTACAAAGTCTAGACAA